TGCGTCTTCTTTTTTCTGAGGAAAATATTTTAAGGATGCACTAGGCTGTTTCCAGACAACGTCATTATTTCTGGTCTTCTCCACAGACTTCTTCACTTCCCCTCAGCAGAGCAAGAGCCTGTATTTTATTTAGTCATGAGAAACAAGTGTGGACCGCCACTTGGTTCGACTGCTCACTCTGCGGTTCGCCTCTTCCTGAGGCTGCCAGGGCCCCTCTGCCCCCCGGCCTCTCCCGGCCCTCTACCCTGGAGCCCGTGGCTCTCTGCTCCTCAGGGCCCGCAGAGCCAGGACTCAGAGGTGCGATTTCCTGGCATGGGAATCAGTGACAGGACTTCAGGGCTTTCCCAGAGGTCACTGTGTCAGCCTTTACCACTAGACAGAGCTCCCAGACGACCCTTACCCGAGGCAAATGGCCCAGAGGAAGGTCTGTGTCCTAAGGAAAGAAAAGGGGCAGCATCTCTAGTTTTGAAGAACCCAGCAGGAAGGCTGCATGTGGGAACACGGGTATTCGCGATATTAGTCTCTGTTCTTTATCTGAGTATTTAAAAAATTTCATCCAAGAACCAAATGTGCTGGTCAGTGCTCTCAAGGGCAGCTCCAGCCCCAGCCTCGGCGGACACTGGGTCAAGTGCTAGGAGCGCGGGCAGCACTGAGACTCCAGCCCACCCACTCGGTGCTCCAAGCCGGTGCCTCCAGGCTACAGCCAGCCCGTCCCTCCTACTCCCAACCTGCCATGGTGGTCTGGAGGGGAACTCTGACTTCACCTGGCCCAGGTGGACCCCTCTTCTTCCTACTTCTTTTTCTTTTCTTTTTCAAGCCCTGGGAGCTATAGCTTAAAAGACAGTACACAGGAGGCTGAACCCAACCAAACACACAGCTCAAGGGTTCTAAGGCCCCAAAGGGCCCGTCAGAAATCTGGACAGGGGTGCAAATGGACTGTTTGGTCTTCACACAAGTCTGGTATGGCTTACATGGTTTTTTTAAAAGTCAGGAGATTTCTCATAAAAATCCAAATTTCTAGCATCTTTTGAAAATTCAGAGAATTAATTAGCACATGGTGTCCCCGGCCTGCATTTTAACGTGGTAATAGGTGCCTGGAGCAGAGCAATGGCCATGCCCTATAGGAGGCATCGGTGTGTCCTACCGCCTCCCACCTCACTCCTGTAGCCATGAGTTTATTTTTTATTTTTATTTTTATTTTTTTTAAACATTTCTTTTTTTTTTATTTTTTATTAATTTGACAGAGAGAGACACAGCGAGAGAGGGAACACAAGCAGGGGGAGTGGGAGAGGGAGAAGCCGGCCTCCCGCTGAGCAGGGAGCCCGATGCGGGGCTTGATCCCAGGACCCTGGGACCATGACCTGAGCCGAAGGCAGACGCCCCACGACTGAGCCACCCAGGCGCCCCTAGCCGTGAGTTTATGACTCCTACATCCGACTACTGAGGAAGGCGATGGGTCCTGAGCCAGCCCCTCATCTTCACAGACAGAAGCACTGAGACCTTCTATCAAAGCTGTCCAATCACCAGTCTCCCCCCGGAGCTCTCTGGGTCTTCTCCTTCCCTCCAACTCTTCTGGCTCTGGTTTGCTCACCATCTCCACTGTCTGATAGATCCTCTCTCATCCTGACTTAGCCTACTCATCCCTCAGGACCCAATTCAGGTCCTGTGGTCTAGATTTTTCCAGCCCCCTGTGACCTTTCTCTGCTCATAGATCTGAACAGCACTCAGTGTGCTGACAGACGGTGAGAGAGGGCATTCTGTGGCTGAGCCCTATGTCTTTGCTTTTCCTAGGATCATCCATAAAACAGCACTGGGCACACAGCAGATACCATCCACTTGGTACTTGATTAGAGCCATGTACTGAACAATTTACTTAGGACTTGTGTTTCCCCAACAGGAAACCTCCAAGATTGCAAGACTCAGATCATACATGTAGACAGAATTATTGCTGCCATTCTATGCCTGAGGTTACTGAGGGTTACAGAAGTCACTTGATCAGGATCACACAGGTGAGATGGTAGGGGCCACATATAAGCCTGTGTTCTTGACCATTGTGCTAAGCTGCCTATACATGTTGAATGACTATATGGATGGATGAGTAGACTGATTCTTCTCTGTTTGTGCCCCCATCTGTTCTTTGTCCCTCTGCACCCCATTCAGTGCCCCCACGGGCTGACCTTTATGGACTGCGCAACACAGGTTCCCAACCACCTGGCTTCTGGCGGGATTCATCTAATGGGGAGGGAGGGGATGCTGAGAATCTGGAGGGTAGAAAGAGAAAGAGAGAGAAGCTGGGTACTTCTTTCCTGCAACGTCCCCCGTGAGTCACCAAGGTTCTGGCTGTGGCTGCACCGTCCCGTTCAGCTCTCCTTGGGCTCAGGAAACCCCATTCCCTCCGCTCTCACCTAGTCTCTGGGGCCGCAACATCACTTATGGCTTCCCTCCATCTGGTGGTTCTCAACCTCAACCAGAGATGATATTGCCCTGCAGGAGACATCTGTCAATGTCCGGACACAGTTCTGGTTGTCACAAGTCAGGGGAGATGGGGCTGCTGGAATGGAGTGGGTGGAGGCCAGGGATGCTGCGAACCACCCTACGAGGCACATGATACCTCCCCCAAATGTCAACAGGGCTGAGGTTGAGGAGCCCAGCCTTACCCCTGGAATAGTCTGCAACCTTACACAACTGTAAAAAGTCCCTGTGGTGAAGTCTCTCCACGTCAACAGTTCGGTGGGTGGATGGATGGAACTGTTCAGCTCATCAGGCAACAGGGGCCTACGTCTCTATTCCAGGCAGATGAGAAGAAGCTCATCTCCTTTCATATTTTTTCTGCAAGGCAATCCCTAGCTCCCCGCTTCCTCATCAGCTCTCTGGGCAGAGAGGTGGCAAGAGGTAAAAATCATCTGAACAGCTGACCACAGAGCCCTTTCTGTCTGGAGGCGCAAACATTTTCCAGGTCAGAAGGGAAAGGATAAAAACACCACTTGAAATTCTAAAAATAGTTGGGGGAAAAACCTTTCAAATATTAGTAATTTGCTTTTTCTTAATTTTCTAGCCCTTTCCATAGGGAACAAATGGCCTGGATTCCCCAAAGTTCCTGTAGACCCAGCTCCCCAAGACCAAGACCCCCCCACATGCAGTCAGACGCCCGACGTAAATGTTTTCCTGGTGACCCATCACAAAACCAGAAAACATCCGGCAGAGCTTTTGTTTTCATTTTAAAGAAAAGATATATTTTTGAAAAAACGTTATTTTTAAAGTTAAAAAAGCTATAATTTAAAAAATGTGGGCCCACCTCAAATCACTGGGTAAATAGATGTAGATTTTCCCCTAATTTTAAAAATGGATACAGCCAACATGAATAAAAACAAATAAGCATTTCATAGGAGTTAAAAGCGTGCACTTCTTACTTGGGAGGGCCATACTTCACTGAAAAGGGGTTGATAAAATAAATTACAGCTGGTGAATAGCACACTCAGCTCAAAGCTTATAAAAATGCTTGCCATTGTTCACTTCCAACCACACCAAAGAATGAGGAATGGATTAAACCAACGTCATTCTCAGGCAACAATGGCTGTGAAAAAAACTGGGTTTCCCTAGGGGCACCTAGCCTAGGGAGAAGGGGAGCAACACCCACCTGCTTAAACCTTTCAGGGTACTCAGTTGTACCCCGTTTTGTGTGCAACTCACTGTCCTGGTCCTTGTGGCTACCTCTGAAGCCCAGCGGGAAAGAGTAAGGTGCACGTGAGCTTTGTCCATGGCCGCTCCAGAGCAGGCTAATGAAGGCCTGGTGTGTGACAGGGTCACAGGGTAAGGAGTGAGTTGGGTCCGGACCAGAGATCCTCTGGACAACAGCATCTGGCCCACACCTCATGCCCTTGTGCAAGGTGCAAAGTCAGGCCCTCCCCCCAGATGAGCCCCACCCTCTCCAGCAGCACCTCCCCTGCGCTCTGCCTGCTCCTTGGTGATTTCGCTCTGCTGAGCCTCCCAAAGTGTTCAATCACCTCCACCTCTTTGTGGAAGGTAAGCACCTTGTACTTGTTCCTTTCTGCTAGGACACTCACCCCAAAGCACTCTTCCTGGAAGGGGCAATCTGAGCCCTTCTCCCCATTTCCCTGACGCTGCCCGATGAGCCAGTGAAGAGGTGGGGTACAATGAAGATGCCTACAGACTGGGAAGCCCTCCTGGAGGGGGGCCTAGGCAACCTGAAGTCTCCTTCTGCCATCAGCCTCCTCTTCCTCTGCCTGGGCAGAGGTCAAGGGCTCTGCGGACACGTTGTACATTCCTCAGTGACCAGCTTGGATCTCACCATTTCTCTTTTCCCTCTCCTTGAAGTCATTCCAGTTTTCTTTTGTTTATTTCACTTCTTTCTCTTAAAGGAAATTTCTTCTCAGTCTGAGCTCTGAAGACTGACTACTCCTTCTGAGTTCTTCCTAAGCTTCTCTGACCCTCAGTGTGACTACCCACCTCCCTTACTACCCTCTGGTCCCCTGCTCCCATTCTCAACCCTTTCAGCTTATTCGGGGCTTGTGGTGGGAGAGAGGAAGAAACCAAATGACTGATTCATTTCAGCAAAGCTGTCATGAGCACGAGGCGCTATGCCAGCCAGGAGCCAGAACTCCCCGTCCAGTCTAGGCATGGGACACAGGGCACAGAGCACAAGATGGGGGTTTGCCCAGGTCCCCCAACACACTAGTGGACCATGGAAGATAGTGGTACAGATGGTCCTGAAGTGTAACTGAAGACTAGAAATTGGAAATGAGAAAAATTCAGGAAGATAATTTTTGTTTCCTGAGGATATGACCACTACCATCTCCCAGCCTTACCCAGAATCCAGAAAGTTCTTATATAGGTACCCCCTCCTCCCTCTCAGGCTTTTACAGCTCTACGTAGAACAAGAACAGTCCAAGGTAATAGAGCAAGTTCATCAAGGTATAAATGATCCCTAAACTCACAAGGTAATTTTAAGATTTATAAACAGCGCTCAAAATGTTAAGTACCTGTGATTTCAAAGTTTCTGGAAACTTTGTATCTTGAAATTGAGTTCACTCCCAGGTTTCCAAGGGCCTTTCCTATCAGTCCTTTGTGGCCAGGACACCCTTGAATTGCTGCCCACCTCCCAAAGGCATCGGAAACCATCTGCTGGCCATGGTCCTGGGCTGATGGGAGTGGGGTGGCTGAGGCTGGAGAAGGCTGGGGTGAGGGAGAGGAATGGAGAGGCCACAGGAAACCTCTCTTCAACAACAAGCCTAGGAAGAGATGACAAGTCAGAGAATACAGGGCAATGAATGAGTTGGGGTTTTAGCCAACTGAAAAAAGGAGAAAAGGTGAAACTGTGGTAGAGTGGATTTAAATTAGCTGCTAGGAAGAGTGCCTAGGTGTTCTGAGGCTCCAGAACCCACTGCCCAGAAGAGTCCACTGCTCCTTTCCTCTTGGGACCAGTCTTTGGTGGGAAGGGTGGGGGTGGGGGTGGGGGTGAGAAGGAAGAGGAACTCTGGCAAGAAGTGGGTTGTGTTTGACCTGGAGGATGTTTTGATCTAGCCGTGAATGTTACTGCTGAAAATAATCAACATAACTGAACGGACAATGGCTAAGCAGCACATGGCAAAATTCACAACTGACCAAAGAAGTCATTTTGTTAGTAACACTAAAAACACAGATAATAACAGCAGCAACAGAAAAAATACAACTGCCAAAATCTAAAACGCAGGTATGATAAAACGCTTTTTATTTTTATTTATTAATTTTTTAAAAAGATTTTATTTGTCAGAGAGAGAGAAAGAAACAGACAGCGAGCACAAGCAGGGGGAAGGGCAGAGGGAGAAGCCCCACTGAGCACGGAGCCCAATGCGGGGCTTGATCCCCAAACCCCAGGATCATGACCTGAGCCGAAGGCAGATGCTTAACCGACTGAGCCACCCAGGCATCCCTAAAACGCTTTTTATTGACTAAAATTTCTGACCAAAAAGTCAAGTCTTTATTGCTAAATTTATACCTAAAAGAGCTGATACCTAAGAACATAAGGGAGAACTTTAGAAATGGTTTAACTGCTCTGTGTAGAAAATTGATCAAGGAATTAAATTAGCTTGACAGAGTTACAAATAATTTCTTGATGAAAATTAATCGGTGTTGGTATAATCCAGATGAAAACTGTGTATTTAGCTAGAATTTCGGACTTTAGTCGTCCGTCAAGAAGGAGTAGCCTGCTTCCCCAACCTCCCTGTTCCTAGACTCACCCCTCCCGCCTCTCAGCTGACTGGACTCTGGCAGTGGGAGTGGTGCTCTGGAGCCCCTCGGCCTCTCCACAGCCCCCGCCCCCCGCCCCCGCTACTGGCTGCCCTGTCTTCGCAGGGGCATCTTGTCCTCCGTCATCACCTCTGCGTGCAGGTAGCTGTCCTGATGACGGCGCGCCGCCTCTCCCTCCCCACTGCCGCTCCTAGCACCACCCTCACTGGTCTTCCTTTAAGAGCAATGGTAACCTTCTAACCAGCCTCCTTGCTTCTGGTTTTGTCTTCTCCTCCAAGCTGCCCTCCACCCTGTAGTCAGGGTTATCTTTCTAAAGCCTCCTTTTATAAAAGCCCTCAATGGCTCCTCAAGGCTGACTGTCCTAATTCCTCAGCCTGAAGGGCTCTTTCTACCTATCCCCTGCCCCATCGCTAGAGGGATAAATCAGTCTATAGCTCCCCTCCATCACTCCTCCAATACCAGGGGAATGGCCGTACCGGCCACGGGGGTTTTAGGTTCACGCCTTCCTTTATTCTGGGTAACTGAGTTCCTTTCTCCCTACATTTCCCCCTGCCTTAGTCCAAGCTTCTACTGGCCCCCAAGCCCCTTAGCACCCAATCCCTTCCCCAGACTGTCTTTCATCTGATTACCAGCCTCTCTTTGGTGACCTTATTCACTTCCAGAGAGACTCTGGGCTCCTCAGTCTTATTCCTTCAGTTTCTTTCCAGATCTAGCAGAATGAGGTCAACATGTCTTGGGGGCTAGGGCTGGGGTGGTATATGTCTACTATTCCTTGACAGAGTGGACCTAGGAGAATGTCCATTGAGAAGGGACCTCCAGGGGCACCTGGCTGTCAGTACAGCATGTGACTCTTGATCTGGGGGTCATGAGTTCAAGCCCCACACTGGGCAGAAAGCTTACTTAAAAAAAAAAAAAAAAAAGAAGGGACCTCCAGTTCCTCAAAAAGTTAAACATAGAATTACCATATAATCCAGCAATTCTACTCCTAGGTATATACCCAGAAGAACTGAAACCAGGTACTCAAACAAAAACCTGTACACCCATGTTCATAGCAGCACTACTCACAACAGCCAAAAGGTGGAAACAACCCAAATGCCTATCAATAGATGACTGGATGAACAAAATATGGTACATCCATATAACAGAATATTACTCAGGCATAAGTGAAGTACTGATACAGGTTACCACATACCACATGGATGAACCTTGTGAACATTATGCCTAGTGAAAAAGCCAGGCACACAAATATTATATGATCCCATTTACATGAAATGTGCAGAATGGGAAGAGTCAGAGACAGAAAGCAGACTGGTGGTTGCCGGGGGCTGGGAGGGAAAGGAAGGGCAGAGAGTGGCTCCTTAATGGACACGGGTGTTTTTGCGGGGTGAGGGAGCATGATGGAAATGCTCTGGATCTAGATGGAGGGGATTGTTGCACAATATTATGAATATACCAATCGCCACTGAATTTATACTTAAGATGGTTAATTTTATGTTATGTGAATTTCACCTCAATAAAAAACAAAAATACAAAAAAGAAAGGATCTCCTTGGGAATGGAGCCAGAGAGTGTGCCAAGAACACAGGATGGCAGATAATTAAATTCTGTGCTCCTGTGGCTTTAGGAAAATGGGGTGGGTAAGAAAGGACCTGCTCAGTGAGTAGTGCTCCCTGGCACACACTTCCCCAAGACTGACCCTGAGCAGGGGTGTGAGGGGGAGATGGATAAAGGTACACATAGGGGTTAAGTGAGGTGTACATGGGACTAGCCCTCCCTCCCCACTGCTGGGGCCGGGCTCATACAAAGATGAGAGATTTAGGACCTGGAGGACTAGGAAGGTGGCAAGTCTAGGAAGGTGGTCTGAACAGCCACTGAGGAGGGAACCCTTCTTTCCTGCTCATTTGGTAATAAAGCAAGACATATTACGTCTAAAAGCACCTGCAAGGTAAGACTCCTATGTAAGCGGATCCGGTGAAACAGTTTTATGCAGAGAGCAGGGATCAGATCACAAAGCCGTAAGGAGAAATCTCTTTACCCAAATTACACAGACCCACTTGCCTGGTTTCCATTTCATTGCCTGAGTCTGTTTTATAGTTGTGCTTTTTCATGAGAGCTTTTAAGGAAGGCTATTCCCTGACGTCATGCAAAAAAATTGTCCGAATACAATTATATTACTGAGCGGTGCTTTTGGAAGAGAACTCAGCCACAAAGCTTGCTGGTGTCCTGTTCCCTTCCCTTTAAAGCCATTTGTCTGCTCTCTAAAAGCAGAAGCCCTCAATCCCAGCTCTCCCGGTCCCTCTACCCTCAGAGAACCCAGTAGCACCGACGCGGGAAATGCACTGAGCACTGCATACCCACGGAGCTGGAGAAGTGGGCGGGCGGGCAGGGGGTGGCCGGTTGGGGCATGCCCAGCACATCGAGTCATTGTGTCTAATGCTGCACATCCTACAATCAAGGTGCGGGATCAGAGCCCCCATTTACTGGCTTTTCCAGTAATCTACTCTAAAAGCTCTTGCCCACTTCCTCCCTTACACTCAAGCCTCCTTCAGATTTGTCCTCAGGCTTGGGGAATGGATTTTTCTTTCTTTTTTTTTTTTTTTTAAAGGTGATTTTTTTTTTTTTTAAAGATTTTATTTATTTATCTGAGAGAGAGAATGAGATAGAGAGAGAGCATGAGAGGGGAAAGGGTCAGAGGGAGAAGCAGGCCCCCCGCTGAGCAGGGAGCCCGATGCGGGACTCGATCCCGGGACTCCAGGATCATGACCTGAGCCGAAGGCAGTCGCTTAACCAACTGAGCCACCCAGGCGCCCCGGGAATGGATTTTTCTTAAAAGCTATTATAAAAAAACATCTCTCCTCAATCAAAATCTGTTCTACTGTGAGCAAACTCTCCACTTTTTTCATCCTTGGCTCATTTCTTCCTCCTCCTGGCAGATTACTCCTCACTTTCCAGTAGAGGCTGTTACTGCTTTCCCTTGGTCTCTGACTCAGACAGATCAGCACCTCCTTCCGCACCTCTCTCCTCCTCTCTCAACAATCTGTCTCCCTTGAAACCCATCGTAGCTACCTCCCTATTTCTGTTCACTTCAGCTAGAGACCTGGCCTTCCTCAGTGACACAGAGTTGTTGCCAGCCCACTGGTGACCTCCACATCCATAAACATGTCCCTCCTAGAATTTGGGCGCACCACTCATCCTCCTCCTCAATTCCACTACTTTCCATCTCCAATTTCACTCCACTCACAAGCATGATGGCATCTGAGAACCTGGCATCACTCAGAATTGTTTCAACTTCAAGATCTCAAGTTCTTTTTTTTTTTTTTTTAAAGATTATTTATTTGAAAGAGCGAGTGCACGAGCAGTGGGGGAGGGGCAGAGGGAGAAGCAGACTCTCCACTGAGCAGGGAGCCTGACTCGGGGCTCGATCCCAGGACCCTGAGATCATGACTTGAGCCAAAGGCAGATGCTTAACCACCTGAGCACCCAGGTGCCCCTCAAGAGCTCAAGTTCTAAGACTTCTCATCACTTTTTGTTTGTTTTGTATTTTTTTTTAAGACTTATTATTTGAGAGAGTGAGAGAGTGCACAAGTGGGGGGAGGAGCAGAGGGAGAGAGAAGCTTCGAGCAGACTCAAGGTTGATCTCATGATCCATGAGACCATGACCTGAGCCAAAACCAAGAGTCAGACACTCAACTGACTCACCCACCCAGGAGCCCCTGTTTTGTTTTTTAAAGTAGGCTCCACGCACAGCATGGAGCCCAATGAGGGACTTGAATTCGCGACCTTGAGATCAAGACCTGAGCTGAGATCAAGAGTCGGACGCTTAACGGACGGAGCCACCCAGGTGCCCCCCTTTTCATCACTTTTAAACGAACATCCCCATCGCCAAAATTCACTGAGCACTTATTACACACAAGCACTATCATAAGTATCTCATATGTATTAATTACAATGACTTTTTGAAGGTTTTATGAGCCTCATTTTATAAACAAGGTAAGTGGAGACAC